TTTCTGCTAAAATTAAGCCCTAGAGTTAAAAAGCAACACTGAAAGAAAAAGCTCATTCTAATCTTATTTCTGCTCTGATAACAGTACTACAGACTGATTAATTTATAAAGATGGAAATATATTTGACTCAAGGTTCCAAGGGAATGGTGCCAGCATCTGTGGTCTCCTTTGTGCTTTTTCCTAACATGGTGGTAGAGCACGTGAGCACCTGTAAGATGAAGAGGGGCCTGTGAGGGAGGCAGATTTATACCACTTTCTTTATAACTAAGCCACTTTAATTTATTCATGAGAACAGAGCCTTCATGACCTAATCCCTGAGGTCCAACCTCTTAAGACCATCAAGATGGCAGTTAAACTGGAAGAGACATTCAAATCACAGCAACCTCCATGAAAAGTAAAAGCTATCAAAAAAAGTGAATGTAATCATGCCCAGCTTTGTAATTAAAAATAGTATATTGTAAACACTATTTGCTGATTTTTAGCTTTTCTGGTCAACCTTGATAGCTTCCTTGCCTTTAGAAAATGAATATAATAGTTACCAACTTTGGTAAAATTTAGAAAGTAGAAGCTATAAAGAGAAGCGGGGAGAGAAGGAAGAGTGATTATCAAGATAGATACTGTCTATAGATGATGAACAAGAAATTGGGCTATAAGTATATTAAAGTTATGAAAACATTATGTAGAACTAAAAACAATACTGTACTTATGATAATTTGCAGGAAAGGAGACTAGGCCAGGGTTCTTGTCTGTTCATAGTAGGAAGTCAGCATATTGTCTAAAATCTGATAGGAAATGATGATGTGTGTGTATTATCTACAGATAAAAGGAAACTTGTAGAACAACAAAAAAATGAGTTTTAAAATACAGTAGTTGCTAGATTTTGGTAACACAGACAAGATAGAAATTTCTATATATTTTATTTTTTAATAATATGCAAAAATTAGATTAAAATGTATTCTCTTTAACAATAAAATTGTAAAATATTATTTTATTTTGTGGGCTTTTGTTACTTTAAGCACACAGTTCTTGCATCTAATTATATTCTGGTTTAATCATTTATCCTTAGGTAGTAATCCCAGTTATCTGTAGTTGAGAGGTTGTATATTATTTTATTGAAATGATTTAAATGGGAAAACTGTCCAAATGTTGCCCTTTCCAGTTGATGTAATTCATCCCAAGGTGTTTATTAAGTTATGTAAATTGACAAGCAGAAAGCTACCTTAAGTACTGATCTGTATATTTAAGACAAAAAGTGGCATGTTTCTTGGGACTAACCATGTACATGATCGTGTTATCTGTGAATAGACATTTTTTCTCCTCCCATCCCAATCTTTATGCTTTCCCTTTTAAATGTATTATATTATATAACCTTTCATAAATGTTGAAGTGGTAAAAGCAGAAATCCTCTCTTGTTACTGATTCAGGTGGAAAACATTGACTCATTTAGCTCAGTGGCACTGTGTCTGCCTGGCAAGTGGAAAGGGTAGGGGAAAGGTAATAAGGGAAAAAAATATGAGAAAATGAAACAAATGGAAATAAAGTGTTTGTAAATGGGGAAGGGAGGAGACGGGTGAAGGGAGGGCAGGGACAAATGGGGGAAAAATGAGAACCAAGACCACCTGTTATGTAAAGGTACAGGATCCCAATAATGAATGTAACTGTACTGTATATGTTAAATGTGCCAATAAACTCAATAAAAGAAAAATAATAAATTCCTGGTTGTGTAAAAAAACGAAAGAAAAACCAAACATTGACTCTTTCCCCTTTGAGTTTTATGATACTTGTAAATTTGTGTAGAGCCCACAATCAGGCTTAGGCAGTTCGCGTGTATATATAGCTTGTGATGGCTTTTTCAATAATTGTTGAAATATTTATTTGACTTTTCCAATATTTTGTTAATATGGTGAATTACATTCATTGATTTGAGTGCTAAACTAACCTTGAATTTCTAGAGTCTACTCCATTTGGTTATGATTAGTATCTTTTTTATGTTTCTGGATCTTTATTTTTCATTCATGTTTGAACATTACAGATATTACTCCGTAGCTCTGTTTTATTGTTTTATGTTTGTCTGGGTTTAGTATCGCTAAAACATTGATTTGGGAAGTGCTCCTTCTTTCTCTGTTGCTAAAAAGTTCAGGTAACATTATTTCTTCTCCGAGAATTCACCCATAAAGAATTTAGGCCTGCCAGGGATTTAGCTCAGTGGTTCGGTGGCCTGCCTTGCAAGCGCAAGGACCCGAGTTCAATCCCCAGTACTACAAAAAAAAAAAAGACACTAACATAAAGAATTTAGGCCTGCCAGGGATTTAGCTCAGTGGTTCGGTGGCCTGCCTTGCAAGCGCAAGGACCCGAGTTCAATCCCCAGTACTAAAAAAAAAAAAAGAATCTAGGCCTGAGGAATTTTTTGTGTGTAGAAAGACTTATAATTATGAATTTGATGTAACTGATATAAGAATATTCAAGATTTCTATCTTTTGAGGTCAGTATTTGTCATTTGTATCTTTGACGGAAAATATTCCAGTCCACTTAGGTTGTCAAATAATGCTGGCTTGAAATTGTGCTACTGCCTTACTCTGTAATATCTGTAGGATCCATAGTAATATCTCCCTGTTACTTAAAATTTTAGTAATATATGTCTTCCCTCTTTTTTTCCTCATTGGTCAGTTCAGCCTAAAGGTAAATCAGTTTTACTGATCATTTTATTAAATCAGCCTCATTGATAATGTCTGTTGTTTTATCTTCTATTTCATTGTTTCTGCTGTTAATTCTCTTGTTTCTACTTTGAGATTAAATTTTCTTAAGATGGGAACTCAAATCACTAATTATATATTTTTTTCCTCAGTTAAAGTATTTAAAGCTATAAATTTTCTATAAACATTGCTTTAGTTGTATCCCACAAATTTCTATTGGTTGTCACTTTCATCATTGCATTGAAAATATTTTCAATTTCCCTTGTGATTTCTTTTACACATAAATTATTTAAAAGTGTGTTGTTTCATTTTCTAAGTATTTGAGGTCTTCCTGGTTATCATTGACTTCTTACTTAATTTTATTATGGTCAGAGAACATATGAGTGCAGTCATTTATAAATTTATTGATCCTTATTTTATGACAGACATACTCTTAAAGAACGTGAAAGAATGTATATTGTTTAATTGTTGAGCATAGTGGTCTATAAATGTCAGCTAAGTCAAGGTTAATAATTTTCATAGGGCCCATATCTCTGCTTTTTTTTTAAAGGTTATATTTGGTTGCTGAGAAATTAGTTATTCCTCTAATGGCAAGTTTAGTAAAGCTATATAGCAAAGAAACGGCATGCAAGGACAACAGAAATTTGTGATTGTATCTTTTGATCTGCTACAGGATTTATTTTACTCTTCTCTGTGATCTTGTATATATTTGAAATTTGAACATCTTGGTAATAATATTATATTCCAGAGAGTGCATGCCACATCCTTCACCAGACATAGAAAAATATTTAAGATTTCTATTTATTCTACGTCACTTTAAAAGTTCTATTTAGAAGTATGTTTCATAATGTAAATGTAGTGCGTAGTATAGCTATAGTTTTATATTTAACTTTTAAGATATATATGAGAGACAAGTACATATTTTTTTCACTGTTGTTTTTAAAATAGTGATTTTACCTCATGGAGAGTCACTTTTGCTCTAAAATCCATGTACCACATGGATGGTCTTATAAACTGTGTCTTAAACAATAAAATAGCACTTTTATATGGTATTCTTTTTTTATTACTGAATGTTTGTAATGCACATCTGCATTCCTTGGGAGGCATTGGTACATGTACTTAATATATCTTGATTCCTTTTTTCATCCCCTTTCCCTTACCTCTTTTTCACCTCCATCCACCTCTTGATTCCCTTTTTTCTTTTTGTAGATGTTTGCAATATGTAATATTTGCATTCCTTGTGTGAAATTGGTACATATATATAACACATCCTGATTCCTGTTTTTTGCCCTTTTCCCTCCTCCCCTGCCTCCATCTCTTGATCCCTTTTCTTTTTGAGAAAGATCTATCTCCTTATGCCCTATTATCTAAGTTCTGTTTTGTTCTTTATTTATATTTGAGTTTCTCATTAAGAGAAGTGATATTATATTTAAGCTGTGTGTATGATTTCATTTTTAAATGCAGTCAATGATGAAAATGAGAACAAGTAGCATGTTGTTTCTTAATTGACAGATGATGTTAAAATTATATATATTCTTGAATTGGATGACATGACCTCTGTTTAGGGGGAAAAATCTTGTTGGGTCAGCATCTCATTAACAAGGCAACTCGTTCTCTTAGTAAAATCTAAATGTAAACTTTTTTTTGTCTTTCCCCAAAATCGAATTCAACAGTGCAATTTTCGTTTAGTTTCTCTAGGGGTTTGATTCCCTCCAGCACCACCACTTTTAGATACCAAAATCTGTAGATACTCAAAACTGTTATTTTAAATGTCATAGTATTTACATATAACCTACATACATCCTCCTTTAACCAACCAGGCCAACTGTATTCCATAAAAATTGAATGTAAAGCACATTTAATGATATAGGTATTCCCATTATATATGAAGAAAGAAATATTCAGAATTATAACATATGGTTGTATGTTAACAGTGTGTCAGTTTATATCCAGTGTCTCACTTTTGAGATAATTCTCAATTTTGTGTTAAAATATACATTAGAAAACACAAAATATTAACAATTCTGGATAATATAATTGGAAGTGGTTTTCTTTTAATTTAGCCTTTCCGTTTATTTACAAGTGGACCTTTAATACATACTGAAGACAAAGTATTTAATTTTTTCATAATTTAAATGTAGTCTGAGAATGTTAATTTATATTGTTAAAATAGTGATTGATCCCTCCTTTATCTGTACTTACAGTCACTAAGATGCAAAAGTCAGTCAACTGTGGTCAGTGTTACTGTTATCTAACCCTACTATGAATTACATTGAATGTGGGTTTTTTTTTTGTCCTTTATTAAAGGTTGAATTAATAAAAGGGAATTTACAGAGTGTTGGACTTACACTTCGTCTTGTTCAGTCAACTGACGGGTATGCTGGGCATGTCATAATTGAAACCGTGGCCCCAAACTCACCTGCTGCAATTGCAGATCTTCAGCGAGGAGATCGACTCATTGCTATTGGAGGTAATTATGCTAATATGCAATACACTTCACATTTACAGAGAAACTAGAAAACGGTTGTAAAGTTTTTCATTTCCTCTTTCTTCCTTAGTCCTATAAAAAGTACCTGTTGCTTTTTAAATGGAAAGAAAATAATAAAATAAACTTTATTGTAAATAAAAATCTAAAAGGATATCTTGAAATATCCTGATGTCTTTAAAAACATATGCGCCACTTTTAGTCTTAACAAAATGTTTCATCTTCTCTAATTTTCATTCACTTACCATCTTGTTTCTCTTATTTGAATCTGAAGATAAGAGCAAGTCAAAAGTTGCTTTTCTGCATAACCACCATCATTCCTATTCTTGATCGTAAATTTTTATAATATTGGCTACTACCCCATCAGGTAGGACTAAGAAATGAACAGAGAGGGGCTGTTTATTATTCCTTGTCCAGGAGGTTATACCTACACCGTCCTGTGGCCCCATGTTTTCGGAATGGCCAACCATTTGTTAGGATGCTATTATTCAGAGTTTACTCCAAGTGCCTGGGAAAAATATGTCCTCCTTTCAGTTGGGTTATTATCAACAATAGTGACAAAATCTCTGTACCTCTAGGTAAACTGTTTGCTTGAATGTGTATGCCTAAGCAGTAGGACTCTGCTATACACAGCACGGGGGAAAAATTCAAGCTTCTTTAGACCCTGTAGTATTTGGCCCTTTTAGGCTTGTCAGAAAATTTCTTGAATACATGGTTGGTCACAGTTATTCTTTTAAAGGCAATGTTTGTGTTCGTCAGCATTGCCATCATTGGACACAATATCTCATACCCACGACTTAAAGGATGAGAGGTTTATTTTGGCTCATAGTTATCAGAGGATTCAGTCTGTGGTTTCGCTGACTCCTCAGCAGAAATGGCGTGGCAGAAGGAAATGGAAAGGAATGCTGCTCAACTCATGGCATCCAAGAAGAGAGAGAAGAGAGGAGCCAGGGATAAGAACACACCCTTCTAGGTCACATCCCCAGTGACCCATTCCCTCTAATCTGGCCCCACCTCTAAATTTAAGACTTCTGGAGGACATTTTAGATCTAAATCATAACAGCAGTACCTAAAGCTATGAGAGTGAAGCCAAAGATGCAGTGGAGACCCCAGGAAGTCAGAGAGGCTAGGAATGTAGACTGTCTGCTGAGGAAAACCCATAGAGAGCCATGGGGGCTGCAGCAGACAAGGCAACAGCAGTGGGGCCACTTGGCCCTTTGGAGCTTACATCTCACCACAACCTGCCCAGGGTCCTGGACATGGAGCTACAAGATTTACTGTTTGCGCAGCTGGGTCTCAGTCTTAGTTTGGTTCCATTCCTTTCTATCCCCTTTTGGAAAGGGAATGTTTAATCCATGTCATTATATGCTAGAATTATTTGACTCTTTTTATTTTTAGAGGGACAGGGACTCATAGCTAAGACTTTGTTTTAAGTCTCGGAAGAGACTTGGATTTGGACTTCAGCAGTGCTAGGACTGTCGATTCTGACAACTCTTAGAAATGCACTAAATATGTTCTGCATGATAAGAGATTTGAGCCTTTCGAGGACCAGAGACAGAGTGTTATGGTTTTTCTAAATTTAAAATGTTCTCCAAAACTCTAGGCTTTTAGAGGGTAATTGAATCATGGGGACACTATACTGATCTGTGGATTCATCCACTGATGACTTCAGAGCTGAATGTCCTGATGGGAGGTGGGACCTGGTTGGAGGTGCCGAGGCACTGGGAGTGTGACCTGGAAGGGTGTGTTGTTATCCCGTCTCCTCCCTTCCTCTGTCTCTCTGCTTACTGGCTTTTATGGAGTCATCACCTTTCCTTCATTCCCTTCTTCCATGCCATTTCTGCCTTGGAGCTAACTAAGCATGGTCTGGGCTGGATCCTCTTAAACACTGTGAGCCATAATAAACCTCTCCTCCTTTAAGGATGTTGGGTATTTTGTCCCAGTGATAGGAAAGTGATTAATGCAATGTAGTATATTCTCTCACAGTTAAGACAGTAACGAAGGTAGAGCAGTTACTAAATCAAGGAGCTGGTTACATGTCAAAGAAACTCCGCTTTGACTCAGTTCTATCACGACAACAAAATAATGAAAATTATTTAAATTGCATGCCTGGTAGCCCAACTAAGTTAGCGTTTTCACGTCAAAATCCCTCCAGTCATTTCATATGCAGTGCTTTTCACACTTTCTTGTGTATCTTAGTCACCCAGACATGGCGTTTCAATGTGCACTCAGATTCAGTAGTCCTGGGCCATTATTCTGCATTCTCTATCAGGTACTCCAGTGATGCTGGAGCTGCCGGCCCACTCTTTCAAAGTGCATGAAATAGGCCTCATTCTCTGTGTTTCACTTTATGTAATTGTGTAACATAAACATTAGAGTTCATTTTCCTCTGCTAAAACTACAATTCTATATAACTTTTTCACATCCCCTTTTAAAGAGATTTCAGTTACATACATAGTTATTATCTGTTTCCCAGAACAAATCCAAGCAGTACAAACATATGCAGGGTAAAAAAGCAAGTTATTCCTCTCCTTCTAACACTTGTTCAAAAAAAGTATTTATTGAGATGAGAAAGATGAATACACATAATAGAAAAATTTTATATATCTCCCATCCTAGCTTTTTTTCTGGCATATAAATATATCCCTTGCTACAACTACAGGAAACAAACTGAAATCCTATGTTTTGAAAGAGTCTTTCTCCCCCACCCCCATACTGGTGATCAAACCCAGGGCTTTTGCACCGAGCTATATTCCCAGCCCCATTTTAAAATTTTTTATAAAGAAAGTGTGTCACAAAGCCCCTAAGTTACCCAGGCTGAGTAGTTCTCCTACCTCATGCTTTTATTTCTTTCAGTATGTTATAATCTTTGCCCCATGACAACAGGTACTTCTCAAAAAGATATGACTCATATGACTCCCTATGACTCTTTTTATGGACATAAAGTAATTTTTAAAATATTTAGTAATAAGATTGGTAATGTTTGAAATAAGGTTGGCAGAAATGTTAGGTCCCATAATAGAGTTCATTTCACTGTTTTTTCAACTTTTAAATATGTTTAAAATATTCCTAAAGAAAAATTCAGACTTGGATGGCCCAGCCCTGAAGAGGTACAGCGGCCATTGCCGCAAGCCCCTGATGATTTAGAGACAAAGATGAGAACAGATTTTTAAGTCACAAAAAAGAAAATGAATTTAGATTAAGTTGAAGTTTTTCCTACTACAGATCACTGGGTAGATTTATTTTTCATTTAGGCATATATGAAATGATAACTCTTAGAAGTGAATTTAAAGGGAAGTAGTAATAGATAAGGCTAAATAAATCTTGAAGAACCAAATTAGCTCTTAAGTTCAGGGTAGGTTTGTAGGTGTTAGGAAAATCTGACAGCTTGCACTTAGTGATGGAAGTAACAAAGGCCTGAGCACTTATAGCCAGAGGCTGTTTTTTGCTGGAGTTGAGGCCACTGATTGGGAGGATTGGAAAACTGAAGGCAAATGGACTGGAGCTCTGAGTTAGAATGACACAACCAAGGGAGTCATCTGTCTCACAGATTCACATCAGGTTCACTGGGAGGTGGGTAGCAGATCGATTCACAGTAGTCAGCACAGGAGAATGAGAGTCAAAATGCCCAATATGTAGCCAAAGAAAGAGATGGTTGGTATTCACAAGTAGCTGGGCATGTAGGATTAGAGTGAAAAAAAGGGGAAATCAACCAAAGACAAAGATGATAGTTTTTAAATTTAGTTAAGACTACTGGAGTGGATGTGAGTACTAGGCAGGGAGCAGAAGGCTGAGAGAAATAAGGAAAGACAAAACCATGGGAGTGTTTGCAGGTGACGGTCAGATATAAGTGGAGAAAAACTAGAGCTAATCACAACCAACTTAGTACAGTGTTGTGGAAACCAAGGAAAGTTTTAAAGAAAAAGAAGGGAGAGAGGGAAGGAGCAAGATAAGATGAGGATAACTAATAAAACAATGTCTAAAGGAGGAAGACAGGATCCAAAGTGATATAAAGGGATATGTCCTCTTCCAGAATAAGACTCACAGTCCCTGGCAGGGAGTAAAATCACTTTCATTTGGGTGCTTTTGGGAAACAAGGTGGTAGCATCTGCAGAGTGAGAGGAAGGGGGATGGTGGGCTCTAAGGAATCGGGAAATTTTGAAGCTGTACATTTTGAAACTAGTTGTTTAGAGACTAGTCTAAAAGAAAGCTAAGCAGCACTTAATGGTTTTCCAAAGACAGATAACATGACTTGATATTACCTCCAGGTGGTAAGCTCAGGAGTAGAAAAGTATGGGTTTAGCAAAGCTAGAGATCAAAAAGACAAGTATACAGTAGAAGAGGAAAGGGCCAGGACAGCAGAATCACAAATATTAGTGAGAACATCATTGTAATCTTGAGACTCAGGCTGGGTAGAAAAGCAAGTGGTATCAGAAGACCAAGGGGATCATGAGAAAGACCAACGAAAGATTGGGTGGCAAAATTGCCTAAAAACCTGCCAGAGGTAAAAAAAATTAAAAGGCAATGATGAGAGATATTTTTGGTGTGGCTGAGTTCTGCTCAGTGAGCAGGTCTACAGCATGATCTTGCAGAGTGGCTGAAGTAAGAGAACACACAGATGAGGAACCCGTGAGGTAGGTCATTAGAAGAGGCTGGTGTTACTTTGATTTATTGAGTATAGCCCTGACTCCTCTGGAAAACAAAGACCCTTTCTTACCTTTTGATAAGCTGTATATAAAGGATAGTGTGGGTTAGTGACATTTGGGGAGGGTAGAAAGCGTGGCAGAAAACAAAGCTTTAAATCATACCACACTCGGTATCACACAGGTACCCCAGGAAAGGGACGTATGCCTGGTAGGCAGAGATACAAAACAGTTGTTTTTCACTTTACATCCTTTTGTACCTTTCAGATTTTAAACTATGTTAATATAACAATTTTAAACTGTTAATATAACAATTAGGAAATAATATTAAAGTTTAATATAGTACAGATGCAATTATTAACCACCTTTTTAAATTTTAAGGCAACTTATCCTTTGTCATCCTGAAAAAGATGTTTAATGGTTATGCCCATTAAAAAGAAGCTGTGAAAAAGTCAGTTATTCAGTAGCAGTATTTTGCTACATTTATGCCAAGCATTGGTCTCTTAATTTGAATCAGCATATAGCTTCCAATCCATGGAATATTTTGTAATTTTCTTCAGTAGAATCACAGCTTCTCATCATTAAGTCTCGTTTAACTATAATAAAATCCTTTTGAATATAGGTTTCTCTCTACTCACTTCCTCAGTTCAAACTAAGAAATAATGTCATTTAACATAGGACAGATTGAGAAACAATTAGGATCAGCACCTAGACAGGCACTTGTATGGATTTTGTGTTATCTTGGTTGAGAAGCTAAGTATTCTCAGGATTTCAGCACCTTCAGTTTAAGAATCAGGACATGATTCATCCAAAAGACAAGTAAAATGTTTTTAAGGGTTTCTTGTTACTCTTCCATTAGTTAAGTAATTATTTTAAAAAATGACAATTATATTCAACAAATGTAGGTAACTTTTATTGCAATAATTGATGTTTTTCCTTTTAAATCTTAAAATCAGGTGTGAAAATTACCTCGACACTGCAAGTGTTGAAGCTTATCAAGCAGGCTGGTGACCGAGTTCTGGTGTACTATGAAAGACCCGTTGGCCAGAGTAATCAAAGTGTGGTGCTACAAGATAATTTTGGCCAGTTGGAAGAAAACTTTTTGTCAGGCTCATGCCAACCAAGTTATGAAGAGGAAGCAGCTGGGTTGGCAGTAGATGCTGAAAACAGAGACTTAGATTCTGAATATGAAGACTTGGCAAGTGATGTCAGAGTACAAAATGAGTTCAAAGATGAAGGACAGTCATTAAGTCATAGTCCCAAACGGACTCCAACAACACTTTCTATTAAACCCCTTGGCGCTATATCACCAGTTTTAAATCGTAAATTAGTTGCAGGAAGTCACCCACCACCACCAAAAATTTCATCCAAAGAAGGAACTAAACCATCTGCCCTAAAAACTTCTGAGGTAGCAGACCCAGTACAAGTGTCAAAACCCACCCAAGGATCCACTTTCAAACCACCCGTGCCACCACGACCACAAGTGAAAGTCCCTTTGCCTTCTGCTGATACCCCGAGTCAGGCAGAACCAGACATTCTTGTTGAAAAGCCAGAGAAGGTGCTGCTTCCTACTCCTGTAGACAAATCTGCTGAAAAGCAGGTGAAAAGTGTAGATCATGTAGAAGATTTGAGCACATCGAAGCAGTTGTTAGCAAAGCAAGAAGTGGCTAAAGATTTTACTTCAGAAAGTTCCTGCCCTACCAAGGACAGTACAGATGACCATCAAACATGGGAATCATCAGAAATTCTTTATCGTAATAAGCTAGGAAAATGGACAAGAACCAGAGCATCCTGTTTGTTTGACATAGAATCCTGCCACCGATACCTGAATATTGCACTGTGGTGTAGGGATCCTTTCAAGTTGGGGGGTCTCATCTGTTTGGGTCATGTTAGCTTAAAACTTGAAGACGTGGCCTTGGGATGCCTAGCTACATCAAACATGGAGTATCTTTCCACATTCAGACTGGAAGCTCCTGCACCTAAGGCCATGGTCACGAGAACTGCACTGCGCAATCTGAGTATGCAAAAGGGCTTCAATGACAAATTTTGCTATGGTGACATTACTGTTCACTTCAAGTATTTGAAGGAAGGAGAACCAGACCACCATATAGTTACTAACATAGAGAAAGAAAAAGAACCCCACTTGGTTGAAGAAGTTTCTACCCTCCCTAAAGAGGAACACTTTACTGGACAGATGAGCTCCCTAGAAAATAAGCATAGTTTCCAGGACACTCAATTCCAAAATCCAACTTGGTGTGATTACTGTAAGAAAAAGGTTTGGACAAAAGCTGCTTCCCAGTGTATGTTGTGTGCTTACGTTTGCCATAAAAAATGTCAAGAAAAATGTCTAGCCGAGACTCCTCTTTGTGGAGCAACTGAGAGGAGGATAGACCGGACTCTAAAAAACCTTAGGCTGGAAGGACAGGAACCCTTCCTGGGCCAGCCTTCTCGTGTTGATGCTGAAACCAACAAGTCAGTGAATAAAACAACAGGTTTAACAAGGCACATTATCAACACTAGCTCTCGTTTGCTAAATTTGCGTCAAGTCTCTAAAACTCGCCTTTCTGAACCTGGAACTGACCTTGTAGAGCCCTCACCAAAACACACACCCAACACATCAGACAATGAAGGCAGCGACACAGAGGTGTGTGGTCCAAACAGTCCTTCCAAACGGGGAAATAATGCAGGAATAAAGTTAGTGAGAAAGGAAGGTGGGCTGGATGACAGTGTTTTTATTGCTGTTAAAGAAATTGGCCGTGATCTGTACAGGGGCTTGCCTACAGAGGAAAGGATCCAGAAGCTAGAGTTTATGTTGGATAAACTGCAGAATGAAATTGATCAGGAGTTGGAACACAACAATTCCCTTGTAAGAGAAGAAAAAGAGACAACTGATACAAGGAAAAAATCACTTCTGTCTGCTGCTTTAGCTAAATCTGGTGAAAGACTACAAGCTCTAACACTTCTAATGATCCACTACAGAGCAGGCATTGAAGATATTGAAACTTTAGAGAGTCTATCTTTAGACCAGCACTCCAAAAAAATAAGCAAATACACAGACGATACAGAAGAAGACCTTGACAGTGAAATCAGCCAGCTGATAGACTCTCAGCCATTCAGCAGTATCTCAGATGACTTATTTGGCCCATCTGAGTCTGTATAATGGACATACTGTTTAAACTTGCATATGATTGGGGGAAAGATGTATCTAAGTTATCACAGATACCAACCACATTTCAGTCCTCTCATAATGCACTTTGGCCTGCTTCTCCACAGTTATTTGCTTGTGTAAGAAAGAATGAAAAAGGTTTTCCCTCAAAAACATGACCAGCTCACTAAATCAGTTGTTTCCGATTACATTTATAGCTATGCTTTCTTGGATTTATATTGGGAATTTATTTTTACTAATTTATTTTTAACTTTTTCTAATTATGTGATTATATAAGCTAACTTTTCATGTTTATGTATGTGTGATGTCTCACTGTGGTTTTTTTCCTTCCTCTTCTTTTTGAATTAATGTTAAATAAGATACAGTCCAGATTTTTGAAATATTTTTATTTCCATCATGGTTATAACAACAAATTTGCTGCATGCCAAAATTGACAACATCCATCACTGGGAAAACAAGTTGTGAATCTTTTGTGTTACATATTGGGAATTTGGGGGTTGCTTTTTGTTTTTGCCAAATGTAAAATGAAACCAGATGCTGCAACTTTAGTCTGTTATGCTGACTTAGTAAAAAAAAACAAAACAAAAAAAACTTTTACATATATTGATTGCTTTCTATGCTTCTGTGACATTTTTTTCTAAACCTTTTGTGAACCTGAAGTACATTAAAAAGACAGTGATTAATTTGACAAGCTTGTATTGAAAAACAAAGTGTAATAAGGAATATTAAATCATGTGGTCAAGAATGTATAGAAAGGGTAACAAGATTTAATTACCACAAAATAGGCAGCAGGATTTTTTAGGTATCTTTTGGAATGTCAGTACTTTGCTTTTAAATGGAAGTTCTAAGCATTCATGATGATTTTTATCATCTTCAGTTTTCCCATAGGAAATAAGGCATGTACGAGGGTATTTGAAGTTTCAGAAAATGGTTCTTAAAACGATGGTATTGATAACTAGTTTTGTTTTAAAAACATTTTCCCATAGGAATATATTGTGGAGGAGAGGAATCATGCAGAATATTGTTATTGCTTCATTGCTTCATCTGGGGGTCTTACGAGCTTAAAGGAATGGTGATTGTTCAGATTGTCTTCATTCATTAAAAATAAAAGAAATAATGGTATACATAGGACTTGAGACAAGTTCTCTGAAAATGAAGATGTACCTCAGTGTTGGATCCACCTTATGGATGCCGACGTGACTGAGGAAAAATATATAAGCTTGACCTCTGTTACACCTTAAAAGTTTGAGCCTGTTACCTGCCTACAAAATAGATATGTATGTTTTTCCCTTTTGTGGGTAATGGCTCTGATAACTTGATACATGCATAAATCAGCATGAGTTTAAAACAGCTTTTATGGCTGGCAGGAAAAGGCATAGTATACCACTAAGGCCATGGCCCAGTCTGTAGTCCAAGACCACACAGGAGCTCTTCCTATAATGAGCTGTCTGACCACAGACAGGCAAGTCAGTCACAAAGAGGCTCGGTACAGCAGTTTCCCATCTCTGAAGTGAGGGTGGTAACTACTTCCTCTAACAACCTCACAGGACTGTTGTGAGGAAAACAGCAGAACTGCACAAGTGCTTCAAACATAAAAGCTATACAAATAAAAGGTGTTACTTAGATGAGTAAAATATCTTTGAGTGCAGAAGTTATTCCAATTTTAACATCAGTAACCAACTCTCATTCCATTAAGTGAAATATTAGAATAATAAATACCTTCTTGAGAGGTCAGGTTTATAACAAAAATATACACGTACCCCTTGCTCATTGTTGATTTAAGCATGCTCACATCTTAAGAGAACACTGATGTTGAAGGCTTCCTTCACAAAACTCACCAAAAGCTCAAATGTTCTACAGCATATACTTGAAACAATCTGTCCAGTGTATACCCATGTTTCATCTTGTAAAAAATACCTTGCCATTGTTAATCTGGGAGGTAGTCTCTAATTGGCGCGTGTTCATGGATTAAGTCATGATACCCAAGCATGCTCCTGAAACTCAGGCATTTGAAAGAGCTATAGAAATAATGCAAAACCTTGGTTTCATAAGACTCTACTCATGTCTTAAAGTATTTAACTCTGTAGAACCACAACTGTGGAAAGTTCAGTAATGCTGCTAACAATATTTGTAAAATAATACTTTTAATGTAGCACAGTATTTTTCTATCTGCTAGCAGTAGATGCGTCATGGTTGTGCAAGGAGGCAACACTTCCAACAGCCGAGGTATAGCAAAGTGCAGGCGTCAGTGGGAAAAGCTGTATCGTATTACATTATTGATGTAATCTTGCTGCCGTGCTATGTTATCAATAGCTTAAAAGTAATAAAGACTACTACACAAAACAGTTATCTTCATTTGATGGCATCTAAACAAAAAAGTGATTGCTGCTCTCTGCGGAATTGTCTGGTGCAATTTGGTCATGTAAACAAGCTAAGAGTCCACTTCTAAACAGAATTGCAGAAGTACTCATTTTTTACAGTTTATAAAATATATTTATGGATTTGCTTTCGCTACTGGTTTTTTAGATAAATGACTGAGTTAGAGAAAATGAGCAACATTTTAAGCATTAAGCATTATTTTCCAACCAATTAATTTCTCAATATTAAGCCTCATACTCTTAAATATCATACTTGAAATATTATGGATATTTTGTGACTCAGAGCAAACACAACCTAGGGAGTATGTCATGTTCTAAACTTACACATGAATGTTTTAAAGGCAACTGGAAAATATTTCACTTGCTAATAGATGAATAAAATTTTAAAAATGAGTAAATTTTAAAATATATTGTCCTAGTTTTTAAATGAGATACAGTTTTTCTTACCAAAAAGAAGAGTGGAGATTCCCCTATGCTTTCTGAATCCCAGACACCCTTTAACATCTGACTAAAATTGGGAAGACCCTAACCCCTGGAAGCTGTACACACACACACTACTCAACAATTCCCCTAGTTTTAAGGGTCTTTCAGAGCTGCCAGACCCTGGCTGGACATTTTAGTTATCTTCATCAGATACAGTTATTTGTTCATAGCAATCAGAATAGTGAAGAGATTCAAGGATAACTTTTTCCATGTTGACATGTTAAAGAGTGATAAAAATGAATATTTCTATTTAAATGTTACTACAGTAACACATTACCATTAATCCCCCTCAAAATACTCCCCCTAACTGAACACACTTATCCTATCCTTCCTGCCACTTTCCGAAGTAGTTCTGGAAGGCCTTGTTTCTGAGTATCTATGAAGTGTGGTTAAAAAAAAATTATAT